ACACACACACACACACACACACACACACACACATACTGTAAAATATTTCACTTTTTTTAATTTTATAAATCTTTGTAGAAATAAGCAATGAAATACTACTTTCATTTTTTGAAAAGGGATTTTTTTAAGATAGTGTCCTTTGGCATTAAGGTAGGCGGGAGCTAATATTCTCTCTACCTGTTTCCACATGAATCAGTATAAAGTCATGGACATTTAAAAATCTCAATTTCTACTTATTTACTACGCAGTGTAGCCATGAACAAGTAATGTAGATTTAGTTTTCTCATCTTCAAATGCCCTGATCACCCTACCTCACTGGGTTGTTGTGGGGGTAAATAAAACTTTTATGTAACAAAAAAAAAAAAAAAAATATGGTTATATGTGTTGGCTTCTGGTATGAATTAGCAATGTACTTTGGAAGGAGATCATTAGTACCTTAAGTAAATGTTCTTCCATTAAAGAGAAAAAGTTAAGAAACCAAAAGGCGTAAGGCACCATGCACTAAATCAGATTCCAGTTCTCAGGTTTCAGGAGTCTTGAATGGGAACCCTCCAGACCATCTCCATCGTACCAGATGGACTTTTTCATCTCTTTCTTGCCTTCTCGCCATGCTTAATTTAAAGGTGACCACATTCCACATAAAACACAACTGCCCTGTGTCCTCTGTTTTTTCTACTTTCCTCTAAATTTCACATTTTGTTCCTCAGAAGGTCTCCTTTATATTCCTCCAGTGCGAGCAGACATGAAAGCCTGTATACAACATTAAAGGACTGTTATGAAGAGAGATCCAAATCATTTGGGATGGTTCCAAAGGCCAGAGCTAGCACTGATGGGGTGGCCTTCAAGGAAGGATGCCCTTCCATCTTTGCATACTGAATGTATTCACAAGAGAGGTAACTGGCCAATTACAGGGTTAGGCTTTTGAAACAGGAAGCTCCCCTCCAAGAAAACTCAAGAGTATATCAGTCCTGCAGCTTGACTGATCCTTCTATTTTATTCAAAAATAAATTGTTTTATTCAACATTTATTAAGTGCTTTCTGTGTGCTAGGCACTAGGAATACAAACAATCAAGGGTAAGATATATTCCTCAGCCCTCAAGACTCATACTGGGGAGATAGATAGGTAAGCAGGTAATTACAAAACAATTAAGTACACAAACAGAAAATCTGCAGTAGCACTGAGAGGGTGGACCTAACTCAGGTTTGGAATTCTTTCTGGAGCAGGTGGCACTCAAACTTAGTCTTAAAGAATGACAGTGTAGAAACAGCACTCAGGGGAAAGGGAATCAGCAGAAGCAAAGAAACTGACCTGGCAAGTGCAGCTTATGAAGGAACTTCAGGGAGCTTGATGCTGCTGGGACATAGATATGAATTCGGAGCACAGTGAGAGACAGGGCTGTCGGAGAGCCAGGAGCTGGGCCATGAAAGGCCTCGTAAACTGCATTGTGCAGCTTGAACTTTGGCCAACACCTTAAAGGTTTTAAGCACAAATGTGACTCAGGCTCTATCATCTTCAATTTAGAAGTGTTTTTTCAAAGGGGATCATCAAACCAGCCTTGAGAGCTGCTGAACTGGGCTGTGTGAATGGGAGTGTCGGTGCAGCCCTGCCTGATTCACTGCTGGAGTTCAGCTTTGAGCTCCTTTGCTCCCCTCCTCTTCCCCCTGTCTGCTGGACCTCTGGGTAGGGTGATGTGGCCACAAAGCGACTTTGGCATCATAAACTGCTTGGAAGCAGCCAGAAGTACACACTGAGATCTGAGCATTTCTCTGCAGTAAGGACCTTGGCAGGCCCTGGGAGCAGTAGGGAGGTCAAGTTTGCTGCAGTGCACTCTAGAACCTGCCTGTACTTCCTATCTCCTCTATCCTCCCTCTCTCCTTCCCTCCCTCCTAATATTCTTTGGCTCCTAGCTGACTTGATCTAAAGTTGGAGGTGAAGACAACACAGCATGGGGTGGGGGGGTCATCTACCTTGCAAGGAAAAGTATCCTGCACTTCTCAGTCCTGGTGACCACTGATTTCTGCATCAGGATGGGCACTCCAGCCTCCCATCCTTTCCAGAACTACTGTACCTATCACCTCACAAGCTGTTATTTGGAGCTATTTCACTCTCCTGCCTCATCCTCTTTGATCTCCCAGGCCCTCCCCTCATTACCCCACCCAGGTTCTCCATGGCCTTCATAACTTAGTTCTCTTCACTTCTCTGGCAAATCATGTTTCCTAATGACTCTTTCAGTAGCTGCATAAATGGCTCTGCTTCCCTAAGCCTTCCTTGATGACTCCATCTGACCCAACTCCTCCCATCCATCATTCACCTTTATTCTGAGCACCCGACTGCAGTGAACTATATTCATGTGTATTAGTTTACTTGTTGCAACCACTCCCCACAGACTGATCCCTGAATCTGCCAGCCTACCTCACTTGTAATGCTTGTACTGCTTCCTCTGCTTGAAATTCACCCCGCCTCAGCTCCCTTCTGAACTCCATCTTACTCTTTCAGGCACAGCACAAATGCTATCCTGATCCTAAGGCTTTCTACTATCACCTTAAAGACAGATTAAATCTGATAGGACTGTGTTTACCTCTATTAAATTGTTATTCTCCTGGGTGTGGTGATGCATGCCTGTAATTCCGGCACTCTGAGAGACTGATGCAGGAGGACTACAAGTTGGAGTCCAGCCTGGACAATTTGGCAAAACCCTATATCTAAACAAAATGGAAAGGGTTGGGGATGTAGCTCATTATGAAGCCCCTGGGTTCAATCCTCACTACAGCAAAAATAATTAGATAAAAAAATAAGTACAATTATGCTTTTTCTGCTTATGTTGTAGCAACAGCTAGAACATATGTGTCAGGGACCTCTCTGAGAACTTCATATACAGTAACTCATTTAATCATCACAATCTCCCTAACTTATTATTTGCAAGGTGGCCTGGCCAAGTTTATAGCCAGTCACGGGAGGACCTGGAATGTGAAACCAAACATCATGGCTCCAATACAATGCTGGGCCACCTCTCTACCCAGCAAGCTGCACCTGCAGGCAGGAAGCCCTTGAGTTCTGCAGCTCCACTCAGCTGCATGTCTGGCATACAGGAGATGATTACTAAGTACACTTTGAATTAACTGCTATGTATTTAGTTAGCATTCCCATGACTTCACTGTGTGTACACTGTCTCCTCCAGCTGTCCATGAGATCCTCAAGGAACAAAGACTAAGCCATCTATTTTCTTCCTAGGGTCACAATCACAATGCATAATGAGGAGCTGGAGAACATACAGTACTTCAAGCTCAAGGGGTGAAGTTGGAGGGGAACTAATTTTAGATTAAAATATTTTAAGTGTGTACAATTTAGTCTGTTATCACAAGCCTAATCTCATAGGTCCTGACATAAACAGGTAAAGTACGTGGAGGGAGGTGGAAAAGGTAAGGAAGCTAGAAGCAAATTACTGGAGATCTGGCTAAGGTCTCAGAACTATAAATACCTGAATGAGATTACAACACAGAGGTTCTGAATGAAGCACTTAAAAGCCAGTCTGCCGTTCAGGACCAGGGCTGAGGAGTAGAACCAAGGGCTGTTCCCATGGGAACCAAAGGAACCAAGCTCCTTCTCCAGCAGCAGGAGAGGGAGGCTGGTGAGAGGTCAAAGGGGAGCAGGGCCGGGTGTTCTAAAGAGGGGGTGGACTGAACAGAGTAAGCCAGGATGTGTTAAGAACAGGCTAGCAAGTTCCACAAGGTTTCTGGGGGCCTCTGGTTTGGCCCCTATCACCAGACAGACACAGCACCAGGAGAGGTGACATGATTCCTAAAGTGGTCTGATAATATTAATATGCAGAGTCAGGAAAAATTGGCTTGTCCTTCCCATCGGCAGAAAATAGTGGCTGTTTCCCTATCATCTCCTTGCATTTCTAAGAGTCCATGCCTTTATTGTATTGTTCTAACTCAATATCCCTTCAGATGAAATGTCCTCACTGCCCTGTGAAGAAGGAAGGATTTCTGTCCTAGGGCTCCGCAGAAAGGCATGCTTCTCTATAGAAGGAGCAATGACTTTCCAGCCAAAAGATCCTCCCATTTTACCAGCTGGCAGCTCTTCCGAAACTCTACACACACACACACACACACACCTCCCCCCCGCCCCCCAGCCTCGATCTTCTCTTCTATAAAATGAGCATGAAAATGCCCATCCACCCTCAAATGAATGCTGCAGCAAAGACATGCGCCCAGCCCAGGCTTTCTGCGGATCTGTATGGTCTCCAGAGCCTCGGTCTCACGTTCCTCACTCCTCGGGAAACAAATAAGACACCGCAGATGTCTGCGCCAAATTGTAGGGAAAGCCATCTCCCCAGGGGACCTCCCGCCCCTGCGGCTTAAGTGAAAGCTCCCAGACCGCCAAGCTTGTACAGTATCTTCGACAGCGAGCAAGACAAGCTGTAACTCCGGGGGCGCAGCAGGGTGGGTCCGAGTCCTGGCTTTCCGGGCCCAAGGCGCTGCAGGTGTGAAACCGCCTTTCCCTGCCCTGCCCCTCGCGGGGCTGCAAAGAGCCCCCGAGAGCCAGCGCCGCGCCCGGCTCGGGAACCCCCTCGCCTACCTGCGGCTCCACCAGCCAGCGGGGCTCCGCCCTGCGGAACGCGGGGCGCACAGCGCGGAACGCCGAGAACACGGGAATGCGGTCCCGGGGGCTGTACAAGGTGGCGAAGTGCGCGGCGCCCTGGAAGCGCTGACAGATCTTCACGTGGGAGTCGGTCGCCAGCCCTGCAGGAGGGGTCTCGGAGTAGAAGAACTTGTCACATTCACCAAAGCCGGCTTCCTCGTCGCCCACGAGCCGGCCTTCCAGCAGCCGGGCCAGGGCCAGCAGACTGCCCAGCGCGAACCAGCGCGCGGTGCCCATGGCGGCCTCTGCGAGCGGCGGGGCCGAGCAGCGGGGCGCCCGCGGCGCGGGCTCTGGGCTGGGCGGGAACGCGCCGCGCAGCTGGGCCGGGCGGAGAGGGGAAGTCCGAGCTTGGCGAGGCGGCCCCGGCGGCGGGGCGGGTCCCGGTCCCAAGGCCGCGCCCCTTCTTTACCTCCCTTCCCGAAGATGGCCGCAGAGCCCTGGGGCCAGCGCTCCGGGTGCTCCCGAGCCTGGACACGCTAGTCACCTCCTGCCTGGTCTCATCAGCCCTCGAGGGCGCGCACGAAGAGTGGAAAGTCTGAGCAGACCTGACCCTAAGGGACGTCTGGATACCGAAGCCTCCGGATCTACTGCGCCCTCCGGGCTCCTCAAGGACGGGTGCGGAGAGGCATCTCAGATGCTTGCCGAACCGTGGCTCTGTGGAGCGGCTGGACAGAGACCTACCCCTCTGAAATCTCGTAAAGACCAGTCTTGTCGTCCCCTCTGATAACCAAGCTAAGCAATCTTGTTAAAGGAAGTTCCCAACCTAGGCAGACAGTACAGCCCTGCTGTGGTTGGAGCAAGGGTGAGCAACCAAACAAGACACCAATGAAGGAAGGAGACTAGCCAACAACATTGGTTGATTGGTTGGTTGATTCGTTCCTTCATTTATTTCTCTGAATGCTTATGTGCCAGCAGGAGTTAGGCGCTGGGTTACTACAAAAGTAAACAAGAACAGGCCTCCTGCGGTCATGAAGACAATAGCGTAGTGGAAAAGCTTGTCATTAGCCAAAGATGAATGTTATTAAATGAATAATTAAAAACTGAGCATGACCTATGGGAACTTGATCCCTACACAGGTTTAGAATGTAGTCTGAGAAAGTTTCCCTGAAACAAGTGGCATTTGAGCTGAGACCTAGAGGATGAAATTAACTAGGAAAGAACACAGGAGTGTGTGCTAAGGGGTCATTTCTCAGAAGCCAGCACGACATGTTGGAGCCCCTGAAGGAAGGGTGGTGTGGGAAAAGAGGAGAGAAGTGGGGCACAGCTCGGAGGCAGGGGTATAGTAGACCAAATCCTCACACATTTTTTGACAAGGCCTACAATGAGAAAATAAGTTTTATTAAATAAATTTTATGCTTATCTTTGACACAGCAATCTTGTATTTCTGTCCTACCTCATTCCACTTTTTAAAAAATGCTGATGGTTGATCCATGAAATTGTCTGACCCACTAAAGTTTCATAAACTGCAATTTGAAAAGAATATTATAAATCATGTTGAAGTTTTCTAATCTTTCAACAAGAGTGGCACAATCACACTTGGTTTCTCTGAGCAGAGACTGATGGATTGGAGTGGTCCAGAATGACTGAAAATACTGCAATAATCCAGGTGAGAGGTGGGAATTTAGAGTAGGGTAGTGGTAATAGAGCCAGAGCGCCTACTCAGGGCCAGGAGCCTTCTCTGCGACATTATCAATTAATCTTATTTCACCACTGTGTCACCTGGGAGCTGAAGACCAGAGCATATCAGTGCCTACCTGAGATAACGACAGGGAGTTCTGAGCCAGGTTTAAAGCAGGTCCCTCTGATTTCCAAGCCTGGCCTTTCCTCTAAATCTAATCTGGATAAGCCTATAAAGTAGGAGACTAGCTCACAAGAGAACACACTGTTGAATTTATGAACAAATTCCTTACAGGTTTCAGGCCTGAAAATACTGACTAGCCTTTTTCACTGATATGAAATTAAACACATATCTTTTTGCAACATGGTCTTGCTAAGTTGTTCAGGCTAGCCTTAAACTTGAGATACTCCTGCTTAAGCCTCCCTAGTAGCTGGGTTTACAGGTATGTACCACCATGCTTGGCCTAAATTTATATCTTACTTTTTAAAAATTACCACGTATACATTTGGTGTGATATATCAGAAGTATCCCTTTGATCTGGGGTTATGACCCTGGTCACCTAATGTCTCAGTTAAGTCATCTCATCCTTGCAGGCCTTTTATGTCCTCTCATTGTGGTGATGTCTCTCCTGGGATACTGAAAAGATTATAGACTTCACAGGATTTTTTAAATATTTATGTTATTTTATAAGAATGTAAGTATTCCCCAGTTTCAATTCATGGTGTCACCCCTTCATAACTGTATAAACACAATTGAACAACTGAGATTCAATCTCTCATCTGTGCTCTTTGACGATGTATCTATTATGGTACTTATCACATTAGGGTATTAATGATTCCTGTATTTTTCCCCACTAGATTATGGACTCTTAGGTGCAAGGTAGTATTCCCTTAATCTCTGGATCACAGTGGCTACAGATGTCGAATATAATAGTTATATTGTATTGTATTCTGGCAAATGCAGAAAATACAACAAATTATTGGCCTGTAAAACTAAAGTATTTGTTGGACTTTTATTTACTGTTTCTCAGAATTTCTCAATCCTTGCCCTTACTCTAATAAGCATAAGTGTCTGTGCCCCCACCTACTGTGGCAGATTTGAGTTTTCCCCCATCTGGGCCAGGAGGAGTTTATATTGAGTCGCGGTTTCAGAAGTTTCAGCCCATGGTTTACTGGTCCCATTCTGTGGGCCTGGGGTAAGGCAAAACCACATGGCAGAATCTTACGGTGGAGAAAAGCTGCTCATCTCACTGAAGCCAGAAAGCAGAGAGAAAAAGAGCTGAAGAAAAGATATATCCTTCAACCCCCAGGGACCCACTTCCTCCAACTAGACCCTACCTCCTAATACCTCATTCAGCTATAAACTCACCAGTGGGTTAATCCACCGATGAAGTTAGTGCCCTCATAATCCAGTCACTTCTCTAGGCTCTCTCGATCCAATAAAGTTGACAAGATTAATGTCACAAGCACTTATAAAGAACTGACAAGCAATGAAGAAGTTAACTCAATTTGGATTACTGGAGTGATGAAGAAACTGAGAATTAGTTTTTAGTTTGGAATTCCTGATTTACTTTCCTAATAATTATCAAACCTATGAGCATGCTTGGCTCACCACAGAGATGGAAGCAGAAAGTGATTTACTATGTCAAGAAAGTTGTCTATATGTAAGCAACAGAAGGTTGAGTTGTGCTTACCTGCAACTGTGGGCCGAGCCATCTTCTAGCAAAGTTAGACTTTAGATGATGGTTAAAGGTAATATTAGTTGTTTAATTGGTATAGAGATTCTAATTTGCAAGATGAAAAAGTTCTTGAGATCTGTTTCAAAACAATATATTTCAACTTAAAGTAATTAAGATGGTGAATTTTGTTGTATGTTTTATCACATTAAGTTTTTTTAAGTAAGATTAGATAACATCAGTGTCATCTAATACACTAGGTATATATATAGAAATATAGAAAAAGCACACCTATTGTATTGATACACATGCATCCTTTTCTCCATTCAATCCCACAAACCCCCAGTAAGTCACCTGGCCCATAGACGACTAAGCACTGCTGAGAGGTTCAACTGAAACTTTAAAAAAGTAAATAATGTTAAATTCAGTTGAAATTTGGAAACCACTGTAAATTTAGTAAGTGTATACTGTAGAAAAGCTCTTAGGAGGACTTTCTTTCACTGGTGTTCGTAGATCCCCAAGGCACTTATTCATTCGTCATATAGTGCAAAATGACATGGAGATTCTCATGCAGCAAGATCCCCTAAGTCTCTTCTCTAGATGTGGGCAAGCTGCTTGGCTGGGCCCTCCTGCCTGGTGCCTGTCATTGTCAAGCAGCACTGATGAAAGCAGCAGTCTGCTTGTGGATGACAGAGGCAGGGTTTCTGCCCTGAGGCTCTCCTTATCTAAATTAAGTGGAGGATCTCTTTTTTCCTCAATACTAACAGACTGAGGAAATTCTTTATTCATTCAGCAAATACTGAATGAATCTCTGTGGATCAGGCTCAGTGCCATTCACTGTGGACATAGAGAGAGAACATAAAACATGGTCTCAGCCTTCTTGGAATCCACAATCTAAGCTTCCTACCAGGTAATTTCTATTTTCAACACAGAATTTTAAGCATTTCAAAAATTATGTGCCTAAGTATCCATTTCATTGTAATTATGAATTTCAAACAATTATTGTTTACTTTTATCTCTGGGGGAGGGAGGAGGAAAACATTCAGTCCTATCTCTAAGTCTGTCTGTGTCTTAGTCTGTAAAAGCACTGGGAACTGCAAGAGGGGTCCATAAGTGTAGAGATCAGGAGGCTTTGGTTTGAATCTGAGCTCTGCCACTTACAAGCTTTTTAAGCTCCCTAATCCTTGAATCGCTTATCTGTAAAATGGGAATAATAATAGTTGGCTCATGTAGTTGACATGAAAATTAAGTGAAATGACCCCAGGAAGGAACCTGACCCATAGCAAAACTCAATAAATGGCCAGTCCTTCTTTCTATCTGTATAAGTAGGTAGCTTTAATTTAGGGGAAAATGTGCAATTCTCAAAATCTAGAAATTAGAAGCATTTTAGGGCTCTCCTTTTCATTTTCAGAAAGATTTAACTCAAATCTATAAACTGACTAGTTGCAGGATTCAAACTGATGATTTGATCCTAGATAAAGATAGACTCTTTAAAGCACAGAACCTTTCCACACAACCCTCTGACACCAAAAGAGTCTTGGTCCATTGACTTTGGCTGATTCTTGGGCAATTTTCCAATGCATTAACATTGGGATTGCTGTGGGCAGAGATGCTTCTTGGGAACAAGGTCTATCTGCATGGGTCTAGGTGCAAGAGGCAACAGAGACAGACATTCTTTACCTTGCTGGACAACATTAACTTCCACAAGGATTCGGGCAAGTAAAATTTAGGGAGAAGAACAACACATGGGCAGATGTTAAACCCTTAAATTATCTTGCAGAAATGAGAGCATTCTAAAGACGTGGGAAGGGAAGGTGGCAGGGGTTTATGCTTAACCTGGGGGGGGGGTTATTATTTATAACGACAAATTATAACCTAATTTCTCTAAGAAGGCTTTGTTGAGAAAAATGGAAAAGAACAGAAACAACCTTGGCATTGGCCATGTTCACTGGAGTATCTACTGATCCTCTAGTCTTGAAAATTGATTTTCCTGGGTCCTCATTTTGGCCATCAATGCAGACTAGATAACTGTCATTTTCAGCACTCACCTAGATATTGCTGCTGGTGTTCACATGACAAAAATCTCTTCTTTGTTCATATAATCCTCATCCTTCTGTCCAAGAGCTCTGCCTACATTTCCAATGACATCTAGAGTTAAGGACTCAATTCCTGGGTCTCACAGAGGTCTGTCTCCCTCACCTTACCCAAGGCAACATTAGCCCTGTCCCTTGCAGCAAGTTCTGCTATTAAAGTCAGTAGACATGAGGGGCCTTTGTCATTGGATTATTAATCTGCTCTGCGTAGTACCCAGTACTCAACAATGGGGGCATCTGTTACAAATCTAATATTAGCAACAAACACAAGTCACATCATCTTGTATAAAGAGAATATTGAGGGAGAAACATTTGGTCATTTACAGAGACATGGCAGTGTTAAACAAGGAGCTCTATCTAATGCTGGGGCTCACTGTTACTTAGGGGAGGGGAAGCCACAGAGAAGGGAAGAGGAGGGAAGGAGGAGAAGACTA